CATGTTGTGCTCTGTCCTCAGTCGGATCAGAAATGAAAAAAATCTTTGTTGTTTCCCCATTTTATATATATACTCTGTGGTGTATCTATTTTTTTAAAAAAGACATTAACTCTGTGCATTCGTGGTCTTCTTAGGGGTAGGTGTATGATGCATCATATTAGGACTAGGCATGATATAACCCACTGAGGAACTCACACATACCATCCAATATTCTCGATTAGGATCGTGTAAAGCTAACATGACCACACTGGTGACGATGAGAGATACACAGATCAATAATTGTGCGAAATAAACGATTTCTTCTCGAGGAACATTCTCTCCACAAAATTTCCAATGAGGAGTTATTGGATGAGATCCGTTTGGGGAATCCATGAATCGAAACTAGGGGGATATCCTTTCCACCGAACTTTGACTTCTTGAATGATTTTTTTCCCTACGCGTCGCTTTTTATACCCCAAGATTTCCTCCACTTCGTACACGTCGTCTTTTTTAATGATCTTTTGTAATTCTTTCTCGTAAAAAGTCCCTTCTAATTCCTCTCCGTTATAATCTTGCACTCTATACACGTAAGGATACCTTCCAGGAACTCTTTTAGAAATGGTAAACAGTTCTGTGGTCCAGTTAGGTAAATATCCTTTTTCAAATGTGCGTTTGGCTTTACTGATGCGTACCCGATCTCCTTCCTTAAACTGAGGTTTAGGAAACTGTTTCCGATTGGATTTCCGATATAAAGTTTTCCAGACTTTTAACACATTAGAAGCATTCACTTGAGCTGGTGCTCTTTGGATACTGCGATGATAAGTGTGATTGTAAGCATACACTAAATCCGGTAAGATCTCTAAATACCGTCTGGTTTTATGACGGGTGAAATAGCGCCACATGCGTGCTTTGAGAGTTCTCTGAAATCGTTCCACGATACTGGCTTTGGTGTCCGTATTACGAGTGGTAAAAAAATGAATGGATTTAAAAGCCTGTAAGAATTCTCGATTGGTAAATTCTTTTCCTTGATCGGATTGAATGCGGACGGGACGTCGACCGTCTTGTTGAAAAATCTCTCGTAATCCTCGAATCATTTCTTTTCCCGTTTTCTGTTTTAAAGGCACCACCCAGGCATATTTAGATAAGACGTCAATGGCACACAATAAAAAAGTATAACCGTCATTGTGTTTCTTTAAACTGGACACATCTGCTAAATCTAATTGCCATTGTTCGTCTATATCCGTCACTCTAGTCTGTTGTCTCCGGAATTTTCTGTGAATGGGTTTATGTAAGGTATACGCATCTTGCTCTTTTAACCATTCTCGTATCTTTTTCAAGGAAATCTTATGTCCCAGACTTCTGACCTGACGATACAAAGCTTGTATTCCTCCGTACCCTCTTTTAGGATCATAATAAATCTCTTTTAAAATGTCTTCCACTGGTTTCTTTTTCATATCTTAGGTAATGAAAGCCAATTTTCGTCGATCTGTTCTAATCTCTTTTTAGGTAAACTTGGACTGAATTTAGATTTTTTGATGGCCTTCGCTAAATTTAACAGAGGTCTAGGAGTGGATTTTTTTATTCCTCTATCTCCTACAGGTCTACTAACAGGGGTCAAAAATGAAGAAGCATCTTTAAATCCACTATCCCCCTCGTCCTCACTATCACTGAAGATACTTTTAGGAGTACTGATTTTTCCAGGTCTCTGCATGGCTTTTATAAGGTTTCCATTGCTCACGTATTCCAGAGGAGTACGCGTCTCTTTTAAAGCTTGAGCAAATTCATCTAATCCTTTAGGAGGGAGATCTCATACTATCAGCCATTAAATCCACAATGTTAGAATCGGGAACTTTTTGACCTCGATAACTAATTTCACCTTCCTTATTCCAACTCAACACCTTGGTTTTCTTTAAATGATTTAATAATAATCCAGCTTTTCTTTTCATGTTTTTATTCACTGTTTCAAGGATTTCATCTTCAATCTCAGCTGGGGCTGCTGGTGCTGCTGCTGCTGCTGCTGGGGCTGGAGCTGCTCCTGCTGCTGGAGCTGCTGAAATTTTAGGTTTAGAAATAGGTTCCTGTCTAGCTTGTTGTAAATAATTCCTATATCGATGAAGTTCCTGGCCATATAAAGCGACTTTTTCTTCTGGGGTTAAATCTTTACGTCTTGTAATCTCGTCCAATTCCTGACCTAAACTGATGGTGGATTGAAATTCCGGAGGTTTGGGTAATTTTGCCTTGAGATCGTTCAATAAGACCTCGGGAACTAACACCATTTTACGACTCATTTTCCTAGGAGGGAAGAAGCTGCTCCCAAAAGTAAAGGAGCGGCTGCTGCTAAGAGAGGGAAGAAGCCTCCTTTTTGCTGGACTAACAAAGCTCGTCGTCTACGGATAGATTGAGGTTTGACCAGTCTCCTGAAGATGTGTTTCTTAGGAGCTAGTTTTCGTTTATGAGCCGAACTGAGAGGTAACACTCCTTTTAATAGGTTATACACGATCTCGCAGATTTTGAGAATACAATCTCCAGAACAATGTTTTAAAATACCCGTCTTTAATGGAGAGGAATAGTGAGGGTCAGATAACACTCTTAAAAGAGGCCAATGAGGTTTTAATCGTGTAGAACAACAAGTCCTTCTTTTCTTCTTCTTCTTAGCCATCCTGGGGTTAAAATGAGGACATGTCCCAGGTTTCTCTCCTTTTTATACTCTCAAGGAGGAGGAGCATACATGTCGTGTTTGTCCTTCTCGTGTTTGTCTCTATTTTCTCGGTGACGTAGATTTTGGAACAATATCGACATTTATATCTCATTCCTTTAGGAAGTGTAGGTGTAGAGGCGGTCAGAGGTTGAAAGCGTGCTATTTTAGGAGTGTGAATGGGGACTTTAATTCTAGGAGAGGGAATTCCCACATTGACTCGAGGAAACACTTCTAAATCCGTAGCTCTTTGACTGCCTATGGGCCCCATAGGACGATCCATTCTCATTTCAGCTTGTTTCTTTAATAACTCCCCAATAGTTTTTTGTCTTTGTTCCTTATAATACTGATTGATTTCGTTTTTCAGACTTTCGGGCATGGCTTTTCGTTGAGCTGGAGTCTTGGGAGTCGTTTTTTTTCTTTTCTTTCTACCACCAGGGGCTTTTCTTTGAGTAGGTTTTCTCTTTTGAGGTTTTCTCTTAGGAGGTTTTCTCTTCTTTCTGGTCTTTTGAGCTGCTCCTCCTACTCGCACCATCCAATCGGGAAACACTCTTTGTTTCTTATTATCGACTCTGACTACCACACTTTTCAAACGACGGACACGTCGTTTCTTAGGTGCATTCCATTTAAATAAATGACGAATGATGACTCCGCCTAGAAATCCGGCTCCTCCGCGTTTTAAAATGGCATTTTTTCTGTCTTGATCACTCGCCGACTTATCGGCTATGATGCTTAAATCTTGACGATGATTATTAATAAACTTTTGAGTCTGTTTATTGATGGGTAAGACCCCACGTATCAAATTTCGAGCTCCCATAGCAAACCAATTCAATAAGGCTTTACGCCCTAATTCGATTAAATGAGCTCGCTTGGCAGGATCTCGTTCCCGCTGTAAACGTCGTAACGTTTTCACTAATTTACTCTTGGCCGAGAGAGGTCGACCCATGACGACTGTATAATGATGAATGACAAGTGTAATGTTGGTACATTTTTATTTATACTCTTGTGGCATGTGTACAGTCAACCATTCAAACAATCGACTTCTCAATCTGTATTCGTCTGGGGTCTGTGGATTCAAGTCCACCAGGAGATACCCGTGAGGAACACTGGTGGCTTCTTGATAGGCCGACATCAAATGTGGTAAGGCTAACTGTCGACTCAAGACACTGATTTGAGATTTGTCTCTGGGATTTTTAAACAACACTAAATAATGAGCATTCAAACTAATGGTGCGATGCTGTGGTGCCCGATCAAATAAGTTCTGAGTGATGTAAATCACACTGGTATTCCGATGATGCGCTTTACGGGTAAACCAATCCACGATCGATTCGATGGCTTTTCCTCCCATCATGTCGTCAAAAATGAGTAAGTGAGGAATAGTTAAATTGGCCACTAATTTCTCATCGTCTTCTGGAATATTTCGAATGAAGGAGACCCGATCTGTTAAAGAAGTGTAAGCAGGTTGCCATTCCCGATAACACCAGACAATTTTTTGTGGCATGGGGGTAATCCAATGTAAATTTTCCACCAATTTCTTGACAAATTCCGTTTTTCCCGATTTAGAAGGTCCTGCTACCACCATGGTAAATTCGTGTTTCAATTGAAAAGACGGGAGTGTCTCCTCAGGTTGCATGATGACAAATGAAGAGAAAAATAGGGTTTCAAGACTTTTTATTCAACACAGAAATATACGCTGAGTTCTCTTCACATCGGCTCGACAGATGGGGCAATACCGGAAGGTGGGAGCACATAATAAACAGCAACATACGTGTCCGCAAGGGAGTAAAGCCATTTGTAATTCTCTCTCTAAACAAATGTGACATTTTCCTGTGGCCTGGATCTCTGTAGAGGTTTGGTCTAGTAGAGGTTTGATTTCAGGTGAAGGTTTGTATCCCGCCCGGAGTAAATGGTTAATGAATACATTCATCACCCACTCACGTCCTTCATAGGTATTGATGTAGGGACAATTAGGGTTCCAATAAGCATGTTCTACATAAGGATCGTCTGTAGGTTCCCAGAGGTTTAAAGTCATACCACAATGAAAACAGATGGTCTTATCACTCACTCCTCTGTAATAAAATCCGGCTTTGGCTAGGTCGGGTATTAATCCTTTTAAAGAATCGGGCCATCGATCATCAAAGGTAGCTTCTCTCTTAAAGAGCAGAGCATATTTAGGGTAAACAGGAAGGTAGTCTGGCTCCTTATCAACACCAGCCATGACTGAAGTGTTATATTATTTTCCCCCCTTTTTATAACCCCTCATTTTTGGGGGGTTTTCCCCATAAAATAACAACAACATTTAAAATACAGTTTGTTTTTTTTTTTTTTAATAACCATAAGGTAAAGTGTTATAATCTTCCATCAATTGTCTCTTATCATAGACAATTCTATATTGTTTTTCTAAAGGTATTGTCTTGACTTCATGTTGACGAGTCCTCTGTATTTTGTAGGGATACGAGACTTGGATTTCGTCAATTTCTTTCTGGAGCATTTTTTCTAAAGTCTCTGGTGACACGATCTGAGAGGCCCGATAATTGAGAGTCAATCCTTTGACTTTACACATGGATTTTCCCTTGGCGGTGAGGTAAGCATAATTTTTGGGGCCTCCTGACATGAATTTGATAATGTGGTCCCCGTCTAATTCGTCTGTCCATTCTCCTAAACTGTTGCCAAGGGTAGGATTAAATTGTCCCTCCTCATGTTGGTATATGATACTGTCCGTGTCGAAATAAAGGACCCGATCTCCCAAAGGTTGTAAAGTCTCGTAGAGGTGTAATCGGGCATGGGCGGTAGTGAAACAGGCCAGTACCACGTTTCCGAAGGGACACTCTTCCACGAATTCCTGTTTCTCTTGATAATTGACCAGCATCATGTCCGATTCGGCCTGCTCTTTATTTTCTAAGAGTTCTATCCCTTTGATGTCAATGGTCGAATCTTGTAAGAGTTGTTGTAATTCCTCTTCTTCGGTCAAGTATCGAGTTTTAGGTAATAACAGGCGTTGAGCGAATTTTCCCCACAAGCAATTTAAAAAGAGTTTGGCTATCGTTCTTAGCACCGGATTTTTTTCTATACTTAACAGGTCCATCCTGATCCCTTCTCTGTCTAAGACTTTACGAATGTAATCTAGTTTCTGTTCCTCGGTCTGACAATCAGGTGGGAATCCAGAAGCTTCCTGTTTGATCTTTAAGAAGGTATCGATGTAAGATCTGAATAAATCTCGACTGCTTTCTGAAAAATGCCAAACTTCGTAAATCCGCTCTAAGGTATATCCCATGTCCAGGGCTTTATGTAATTCTGTAGTCACCCAGGTACCCGTAAGACTGCGTTCCTGGTCTGCGTGTTGACATGGATGTTTAGAGGTAGAGTCCTGTCGTTCCGCACAGGTTCGACATAAGGGAAACAATAACTTGCCTCCCGTGCGATAAGGTAAAACGGGGTGATAGAGGCCTCGGGGTGGTAGGACCCGACAGTGAATGAGGCCGAAATAAGTTCTCACGTCCTGGAATTGGTCTGTTATGATCTGAGGATGGCCTAGGGGGAAAGGTCTGTGTTTTAATACGTAAGGGTATAAGGAACAGACGTCCACGTATCTCATGTCCCCCTCCTCACAATATAATTTAGTGGCATTAGTCCGACCTCCGTACAGGGCGTCTCGGGGGTTCAAAGGATCTGGAATGTCCAGGTCTCGTACATAATTCTGTAGAGTTACCTCTCTTTGTACCTGTTGATCGAATTCGTGCTCCCAGATGCTACGGAGGGAGTACCCCATTTCCTCTAAAACAGAACTCCGTCTTAAAGTTTCCTCGTGTAATTGTTCATAGGTAAATTGGGTCCGGTGAGGATGACTTTCGGTCTGTAAATTCGGATAGCAGGTGGGGCATCCGTGCCAATAGCATCCGTAAAATTCGTAGACGGTGCGAGTGGCTTCCTGGTATCCGTCGACGGTATAACTTCCGATCTTGACTTCTCCCCCGTTTCTAGCATGTTGGATGTGAGATCCGGTGTGGTGACTCATCCAGCTTAACCACCGACAGGCTTTGGCGGAATATCGACGCGCAGGCTGATACCCCAGGTTGGGAATGATGGCAATGGTCTCTTTGGGCATGAATCCTCGACGGTAGGCTAAATTGGCCGCACTGGCAAAAGTGATGGATTCCTGGAAGGGGTCTACATGGACCAAGCTCTTGAGGGTGGCTCTAAACTGAGCACAGCATCGTCGTAAAATATCGACGTCCGAGACACAGTACTCTAAAAATTCCTTCTGGAAGTCAAACACTTTTCCGGCTTGTTGTTCGTACCATCGGTAAAAAGCCTGTCGTCCACTTATAGACATGTCGTCGGGATTGTAGTAAGCTGCCGGTGGATAAGGCCCCACGTAATTCTGGTTCTGTTCCGTATTAAAAAAGTGAGGGAAATACCCTTTCTTCAGTTCGGTGAATCCGAAAGCAGAGGGCATCTTGGACAGGGAAAAAGGTAAAAAATTATAAGAGTCGATGAATTTCAGTCCGCAGATTTGCATGGATAAGATTTTACTGCCGTTCATGATGACGGTAGGTTTCAGGCAGGCGGAATGAACCAGGTAATTTAAAATGAACTGTCCGTCGTATCCTTTGAAATTGTGGGCGATGATGATGGCCTCGTCGTGTAATAAGGCGGAATTCTTATTTCCTGTAGTGGGTTGTAATAACCAGTCCATGAACTGCCTTAAGGTCTCTGGCCCTCGGAACAGGTGTTGACGGGGTCCCATGTGTCGACAGTGAGGACAGGGATCTTCTATGGGTAAGTGACCGCAATGTTGACATACGCGGTGTGCCACACACAGGTTAGGGACGTGGATGCCGGTTTCCTGCGTTCATTCGAAATCGAAATAGATGTAGCACTGTAAGGTCTCTTTGCCTTTCTTTTTCTTTTTCTCGGGCTTGAGTTGAACGTAGCACTGATGATCCGTGTCTACGGTTTTCTTACAGATCTTACAATGTTTCTGTCCTCCGCAATGATGATGAGGGAGTAAATTTTTAGGCATCCATTTCTGACAGTGGTCACATCGTCCCATTAAACTGCATACGGTGGTGGCCGTACTCTTACTGTGAGGCTGCAGATGGTTTTCGTAGCAAGTTCTGCTCTGAAAAAATCCCTGGCACTGGCTACATTGAATGCGGCTCCCGTCTGGAGGGCAGGGCGTGTCTGTTAAACAAAAGGAACATCGGTGAGGATATTGGGTACGATGGTCTGTGATTTTCCTGTAGCCCACGTCGCAATGATCACAATAGTATTGATTGCCCGTCACACCAGGCATAGATATGATGGCATCGTAATGCTGGTCGTTCAACAGAACATTCAAACAAGTTCCCTCTCCGTAGCCTTTGTAAATGGGTTCTAAGGTGAGTTTAGAGGAGGTAGACTTGAACTGGAATATTTTCAGTCGATAGCATGGGGTTAACACTTGTTGTAATTTCCCCCATTCTTCGGGTCCACAAGGCAGATGGATAACACACCCGGCTTGTTCCATGAGAGCTATAGCTTCGTTTTTCTGGTCATTAGCTCTTACATCTCCTAACCTCATGCGTTTCCATCGTTTTTCCCATTCGGGGTCTGGATGTTCAGGTTTTTCACTGTATAACCGGGTGACTACGATGGCCCTAGCTAAACAAAACTTATCCCAGGGATTGTCGATCTGAACGATACTTCTTTTTTCCTTCTTAAAACTCTCCTTGTTGACCATCAGATGTTTGGTTTTGTCTCCACCACTCCCTTCCGGATACTTGACCCGAAACATGTCGAATTCCATGGCCCCGTCTCCCAGTTTAAAATCCTTCTTGGATTGTTGCACGGCTTCTATTTTGTCTAAAATGACGTCCTCGTCTAAATGTTCACATTGAGTAAACTCGTACCAAATGTCGGAATCCAGAGAAGGATGGCGTATGTTAAGGCGTAGGTAATCGTTAGGATTACACTGCATTTGATATTTGACATTTTGCAGCATGTCTCTAAATAATCGCCGAACAAAGCCTCTGTTTTCCTCCTCTGGAAATTCCTTAAAATTCACACTGTAGACATCTTCATGCGCTTTAAATTTTCTGGAATGCTTGGCTTGTTTCAGTCTCACTTGATAATATTGGGAAATGGCCTTTGGCTTATGGGGTGGTGAATGGGCTGATGAGTGTGGTTCTTCATCCGACACAGTCCTTTGTTGTTCTTGTTGGACTTGGGCTCTCTGCATTCTCTCTAATATTCTCGCATTTCTTTTTCTGAGCGCTAATTCTCTGTGTTTATTGTTGTAAATAATTCTTTCTAACTCTTTCGCCCGTCTTCTCCATCTCATCAGTTGCTGGGCATGTAACAGTTTTTTCATAGCAGAATCCATGTCGACAGCTGATGGAACTGACAAGAGAATGAGCTTCAAGTCAGACACATGCAATACTTATATAGTGTATGACGTCATAATGGCTAGGTTTTTCCAGGTGAGTGCTGAGCGCGTGCAGGTTTTTCCAGGTGAGTGCTGAGCGCGTGCAGGTTTTTCCAGATCTCTGACCTTGACCCCGGGGTTGCACTCAGTTGACCCGGCCATCCCCCCAGGGGCCCAAAAGTGCACTCAGTTGACCCGGCTATCTAGGCTCCTTATACTACTTTCATATTATTATGGGTGAATATCTATTCATGTATACACAGGTAAATGTCCTTACATATCATAACGGGTGTATATCTGTTATATATAAATAAGTCTGAATATCTGTTACATATTATTACGAGTGAATATCTATTCATATATACACAGGTAAATGTCCTTACATATCATTACGGGTGTTTATCTGTTACGTATTATTATGGGTGAATGTCTGTTACATATTATTACTTGTGAATGTCTGTTTCATATCTTCCCAGGTGAATGTCTGTTACATATTATTACAGTCGAACATCTGTTACATATTATTAAAGGTGAATGTCTGTCACAAAATGAATGATTTTTTCAATTAAATCGTTATTTTTTTTCTCTTTTTCACGAAGTACCAAAAATCTACACATTATTTACATATTTAAAGCGCAGACCTAAACATGGGTGTATGTAAAATTCTGATGGACACCTTTTTATATAATATTAGTATCTTACCCCCCCCCCCCTTCCCCCCCCCCCCCCCCCCCCCCCCGCCCCGAGTGGCATTTCTTGATCTTGGTTTTCCAACAATGAGTATAAAATTAACGCAAACTGTAAAATAATACAATTTTACAATGGAAATTCCATGTGCAAGTGGGTTTGGCCAATACATCAATTCCTTCAGATAATCAAATATGCAAATTAATTAATAAACGACGAAAAAAAAAAGCACGCTCTACAATGCACAGATTTATTGATCTTTAAGTGTATGTTGTGCATAATGCCTTGCTTTTTTAAATAAAGTTTGGATAAATTGTTATTTTTTCTGTATGAAGTATTTTAACATTGGTTCGTTCAGAAAGATTTCCAGACATGGGGTCAATTACTTTGAAATGTAATGCATTAAATTACAATTACTTTGGAATTTTTAATTACCATTACAATTGCCATTACCATTACTTTTATTCAGAAAAGTAATTAATAAATTACAAATACTTTGTCAAAGTAATGAATTACATTACACATTACATTTTTTAGAGAAAAACAAAAATTTTATGACCACAAGATTTATCTATAGATTAACTTTCTCACACTTTGTGATTGGTCAATATGCTTTCCCTCAGGTCTATAAGTCAGAGTGGTATCTACAGTTGACAACGGAAGTGGGAAAGTGGATCGGAAGACTTTCAATGTTGTAGTTTTGTTCAGCCCCTGGTATGAGTTCCTCTGTGTGTGTTTTTTTTTTAGATAAATGATAAATATTCCATACTATATGTTTTATATAATGTGGTATTTAATTAATTGATTATGCTATTTTAATCCTTTTTTCAAGTTCTTTATTTCTTTGCGTCATACGACACATCAGATTACATATATTAATAACTAAACATATATACAATATTATAAAATATAACAATATGAGAGTGAGCATAATCAATAAATAGCAAGTAAACTATGTAGGACGTGTTTTCTAACAGGCAACTGTAATTATAAAATACTTAAAAATTTACAAATGTTTCATTCTTCTAGTGGAAGCTTGATATAAATATTTTCCAAGGTTACAAAGTTCCTTTATATTTTGTTCACTTAGAAGTTGAATTAATCTCCAAACACTGGATTTCTTATAATAATACTTTTTCAAATACTTAGATCTAAGATCATGATAAAAAGGACACTGTAAAATAAAATGAAATTCGTCTTCGATAACATTCAAAGAGCACATTTTACATAATCTGTTTTTTTCTAATTTCATTAACATATCTACCAGTTTCAACATTTAGATTATGTGCAGATACTCTAATTCTAGCAATTTGTATTTTGTACATATAATTAATAGGTTTACGCAAGTAATATTGTATACCAAAATTATCAGCCAAATGTTGGTATAACGGGCTACGGGCATTGTTACAAATATTAGAAACCATAGTATGGTTATTCACCTCAAGGAATCTTTGTTTTACTAACATGTAAGTATTATCATTGAAATCTGCAAATATATAGCCAAGTCCCAGTTTATTAAGTTCATTTTGAATATCTCTGATCCAAATATCATTATTCCTTAATCTTTCTTCCAAGCATGATTTTAGTAGAATATTTTGTGTCCCCTTTAGTTTCAAAAAATGTTTTATAATTTTCAATTTTCTAGATTCCCTCATAGGCATTCTTCCAAGTTCGAAATACACAAGATTGTTACAGGCACTTTTTTTTTAAACGAAGTAACTTTTTACAAAAGAGACTTTGTATTTTTTCTACATCTGGAACTTTATGAATTCCCCACACCTCTGCTCCATAATTAAGAATACTACATACATACATTTCAAAAAGTTATATTTGGGTTTCGACATTAAAATCAAAGTTGCAGAATTGTTTGTTCAACGCATAAAATGCTTTTCTTCCCTGTTCAGCTACGTGCTATTGAGTTATATTAAATTTACCATTATAATTGAAACACATTCCTAGATAACAGAATATATCTACTATTTCAAGTTCTTTTCCATTGTAAACCCATTTTTCTTCATTTCGTAAACTTCTACCATTTCTAAAAACTAAAATTTTGGTTTTATCTGTATGAACTTCAAGACCCCATTTCTTATTATAAGTACTTAATTCATTCAATAATGTTTGAAGTGACATTGGTGAGTCTGCAATAAATAACATATCATCTGCATACATCAATAGAAACATGGAAATTAACTGCAGTTCAACATAAGGACAATTGTTTTCTAAAAAATGCATCTCACAATCATTAACATATAATGAAAACAATAGAGGTGATAAAACCTCCCCCTGCAGTAAGCCCACATTATTTTCAAAAAACTCCGACAGCATACTATTGAACTTCACACATGATTTCACACTAGCATATAATGATTTAATAATATTGAACATTTTACCTGTTATACCTTGTTTAAGTAATTTACACCACATTTAAGCTCTATCAATTAGATCAAATGCTTTTCGATAATCTATAAAACAGCAATATAGTCGGCCACCCTTTTTCTGCAAAAATTTATTAACTAATGTTTGTAGTACAAATTAATATTGCATCAACCGTACTATTTCCAGGTTTAGAGCCAAACTGCGCGTCTGTAATGGCATTATTCAAACTATCCCATTCTAGCAGCCTAGCATTTAAAATGGAAGTGAATAGCTTACCTAAACAACTAATTAAAGTAATGCCTCTATAATTATTTGCATCATTACGGTCACCCTTTTTAAAACTGGTATCATACAACCCTTAGACCATTCACTAGGAAAAAACCCTGAATTAAATATTGAGTTGAACAGTTTTGTTATGATGGGTAATAATGAAGTTTTACATTCTATCAGTAACTCGTTAAGGATAAGGTCCTCACCACAGCTCTTATTTCGTTTTAGTTTACCAATTGCTTTTATAATTTCATTTTCGGAAATGTAAAACAAGTATGTATAAATAATGTAATGAATTAATAATGTAATTAGCTGGGCAGGCATAATTATTCAAGATATTAACTTAAGACAATCAAAGGTGATAATTACCGGTACCTAGATATAGGGTTTGAAGTAAGAGGTGACTCTCAAGCTGCCAAAAATGAATGATGGACAATATCAATATTTACATTTGGCCTGAGTTTCTCTTTGTGTCTTCAAGAAGATCAGACTGATCTTGTATTGCTTACCGAGTCCATTTCACCAGAATGAATTTTGTGAAAAAATAATAAGTTAAAAAATATAGTTCGTAACTTAATTAATAGTCACAGTATACATGTATTAAAATCGCCAGTTTTGTGGCTTTCTTTGAAACCTATTGATTAATTTTAATGATATTTTTTTCTGGCTCTCTTCAATTGATTTTATAACGCATTTTCAAGTCAGTATACTCCAAGTTTTCCAAACTAATTAAAATCAGATCTGTGATACGCTTCGAAATTCTGATGGATGACCATCAGACTTTTGGAGCGTAACAAAGATCTGATTTTAATCAGATTGCAAGTTTTCATGATTCTTCTAAGCATTTACAGGTTAGATTGTGTTTATTTCGGTATGTGAAGATATGTAAGTCTGTAATGTACGTAAATTTAATAAAAAGATATTTTAAAAAGTGCATTTTGAAAGAGATTTCTGGACGAAACTAGATCTTCTTAAGTTACGGATGCTTTCAGAGTTGGTATGTATGCACCGGTTATAAGCTAAATGTACCAGCCGCTATTTGAAAAATAATTTCTTTTCCATAAGGAAAGAGAAATTCAACAAAATTGTGCTGCCAAAATTAGATTTATTACATCTCAAAGAGCATGTGAAACACATCTAGTATACTATAGGAAGGACACAAAAATTAATTTTTTAATTGAAATGAAAGAACTTTTACCATCAGTACTTTAAAACCTTTTCAAAGCATAAAGAGTCTTTGGGGATATTTGTAGCCTACATGAATAATATCTAGAAAAGATGAAGAATAACCGTTGACATTTTTTTTCTCGGAGCGTAGTAGTGCATACGCTCTAGCTAAATAAAATACAACCAACAGGCAACATTCAAAACATCGGATCTTGAATGGAGAGGTGTCCTACACCCGCCTCCCCCCAAACTTGGATTTTCATAGTTATACAGGTAAAAGAAAATAAGCCCCCCCCCTCCATTGTCTCTTCCATGAAAGAGAGGTTTTTTCAGATAGAGAATTCTTAAACTTTTTGCTTGTCAATTTCCTTAGGTTGAATTGTATATCTCATTTTTTTTTAAAATTTTTGAGTGGGCTTGAAACCCCCCGGCCCCACCCCTCCCCTTTTGGGGGAAAAATGTAGATCCAAACATTAAAAGGGCTATCTAATATTCTATCTGTTAAGTAACAAATAAAGTATTTATCATACATTTAAAGGAAAGAGCATTACAATTATTAACAGACATATGTAATCTTTTCCGA